GATTTTCACTACACCCTAACAAAAATATTAACTTTAACATTAGGTATACACAGATTTTCACTACACCCTAACAAAAATATTAACTTTAACATTAGGTATACACAGATTTTCACTACACCCTAACAAAAACATTAACTTTAACATTAGGTATACACAGATTTTCACTACACCCTAAGAAAATATCAACTTTAACATTAGGTATACCCAGATTTTCACTACACCCTAACAAAATATTAACTTTAACATCAGGCATACACAGATTTTGATTACTCTTGATTATGAAATAAGGAAACGTTCTCAAGTTGCCTCTGGAAAAGATCACTATCCACCTCTATATAGCATGTTATCGTATACAGTAAAGATCACTATCCACCTCTATATAGTATGTTCTAGTATACACTAAAGATCACTATCCACCTCTATATAGCATGTTCTAGTATACAGTAAATGCTATATAGAGGTGGATAGTAATCTTTACTGTATACTAGAACATGCTATATAGAGGTGGATAGTGATCTTTACTGTATACTAGAACATATCACTATCCACCTCTATATAGCATGTTAATAGTTACTGTATACTAGACTATCCACCTCTATATAGCATGTTCTAGTATACAGTAAAGATCACTATCCACCTCTATATAGCATGTTCTAGTATACAGTAAAGATTACTATCCACCTCTATATAGCATGTTCTAGTATACAGTAAAGATCACTATCCACCTCTATATAGCATGTTCTAGTATACAGTAAAGATTACTATCCACCTCTATACAGCATGTTCTAGTATACAGTAATCTTTCCTCTGACAAAATGACAGAGACATTAAAGTGTATTGACTCATAACAATAAGTAACTAGGGTGAAATAAACTAACCATATTCCATGACCAACATTCACTGTCAATCTCTATATAGCATTTTATAGTATATGTCAATCCTTCCTGTGAGAAAATGCATGAGACACCTAAACATCATGACCCAGAACAACAGGTAATTATGGTGATAGTAAACTAGACACAATCCATGAGAAAGATTCACTGTGCACCTTTACATGCACGTTCTACTATTTGACAATTTTTCCCGAGAAAGTACATAAGACACCAAAACATAATGACCCAGAACAACTTGTTGTTAATAATCTTGCCACAGTTCATGACTAATGTTGTACTGTTAAAACAGCACACAAAACAGGAAACATTTTTAGAGAATATAGAAGTGTTCACTAAACAAGAAACACTAAGTAAGCTTGCATGCTACTCACTACTTCTGGAAGCAAAAAACCCATCTAAAACATTAATATTCAATAAACGATACATACTTGATAGTTCCAATGGTGATCTGGATTAAAGGGTACATGAGTGGTTGTAGACTTTCACTGGGACATAAAGTTGACAAAAGGTGGCTCCATAGCAGAAGACAGTGTATGTACTGCCAATTGTAGACTGCTTGATGTGAATCCTAAACAAGACAACAACCAAGGTAACAGCTTAACTTAATGCAAATAAACATCATCAACAAGAAATCTTAACTCTCAATTCCCCTTTGTAAATATCCACATCATCAAAAAGACATCTAAACTCTTAGTTCCACACAGTAAATATCCATATCATCAACAAGAAATCTCAACTCTCAGTTCCACTCAGTAAATATCCACATCATCAAAAAGACATCTCGACTCTCAGTTCCACTTCATAAATGTGAACAAGAAATCTCAACTCTCAGTTCCACACAGTAAATATCCACATCATCAAAAAGACATCTCAACTCTCAGTTCCACTTAATAAATGTGAACAAGAAATCTCAGCTCTCAGTTCCACTCAGTAAATGTCCATATCATCAACAAGAAATCTCAACTTCCAGCTACCATTTGTAAATATCCATATCATCAACAAGAAATCTTAACTTTCAGCTCCTCTTTCTATATAATTAACAGGAAAACTTCCTTTGAAATTTACTATTATCACAATAAACATCCAATGGGTTAATGGTAAAATTTTCATTTCATTTTGAAAATGAATTTAGTCTGCTATTTTCAAAAATATTTACAATAAATAAAAGTTACTTTCAAATTTTTTTATTGATTTGATTAATTAATAATTTATCAGTACCTCCAGTGACTGTCAAAAAGCTAGTTGAACACTGCTACCCCTAACTATGAACCAGTAAGGCTAGAGGGAAGACAGCAAGTAAACTCTTAAGAGTTACTGTTGTTACCTTCCTACCACAGTTCTAGGGTCCATATTGTTACCTTCCTACCACCGTTCTAGGGTCCATGTTGTTACCTTCCTACCACCGTTCTAGGGTCCATATTGTTACCTTCCTACCACCGTTCTAGGGTCCATATTGTTACCTTCCTACCACTTATTACACTTACCAGTTTCCTTCTCTATATCAGTGTGGATGTTCTGACTTTTAGTATTTCAGAGTTAAGTCTACCTGACTTCAGTTTTACATATTCAGAATTACTTTCACACACTTACCTTACTTCCATCCTCCTCCTCACAATCAGAAGGAATATATTATATGAACAAGACCGTAAAGAAAGAAATATGGACAGGAAAGCAGTGATTATGTAAGACTCCTAATGCATGTGTAATAAGCTGGGAGAGTGGAGAATTCTGGGTAAGTTGACATATGCTCTGCATTATGTCAAGAACATTTAGAATTTGAAGTCTCATGGTTTTTGACAGCATGAAAGCAACTCAACAAGAAAAGGTTTTTAGTATTTCAGAAGTAAATCTTCCTTGAATTATATTTTTTAGATGTTCTGGTCAGTAGAATAAATAACAAACTTTCAACAGATATTTATCACAAGAAAATAGTTACACACTCACTTTAATGACTTGATTCTAAAATCTTCTTGACAGAGCATACAACATCTTATAACTATCTCTATCCTCATATAACCTCTTAACAAAACATGCCAAAAATATTGGTTATTCATTATATTTTTTCAAACACCACAAATTCTTGTCAAATAAAAAAGAACATGCTATGAAACTTAGTATCCACAGATTAAATCACAAATAATTTTCAAATTTGCTTTTATAAATCAGATTTTGTTTAGAATAAAAACCTTCTGCTACCCCTATGTCTTCATGGATTATTTATAAATACACTTGTGGTAACTGTAAAGCCACCTATCTGAGCCTATGAACACATGGGATAACCAAACAGAACTGGTAAAAAGCATATTAAATCCTACAGACTCCAATAAATATGTATAACGAAAATCTTTATTTTAAAATTTTCTTTTCCACCCTGTTACAAATGTAACAAGTTGAACATCTAATTGTCCTAAAAAAATAGATTAAATGTATATTTATATTAGGTAAACTGCTATTCCTGTATTTCATATCACACTTTTAATTTATTTCCAGTATAGCTTGATAATGATGACATTTGTAAATTCTGAACCTTCCATCACATTAAACAAGTGTATATTACTGTACCAATACTTCTGTAACACTAAATTTTTTAACTAGTATCTATGTATAGTATGAAATATTTTTGCACAAAAAACATGTAACAAAGTATACTCAAAAACAAGGTATTCATTATACATGTAGTAAAATATGGATGTTTGAAAAAACAAATTTATCAAAATATTTTCAATACTCAAAAGTTACAATAATTCTAGCAGTTGGAAACAAAAGATTCTCTAATGAAACAAAAATTGCTATTCTCTCCATTAACTGACCTTTTTCTTTAAAGTGATTGCATTCCGTAGATGTATTGCAAGCTGGCGAATGTACACGAAAGCATGCTGATATGCCAGAGACTGATTCAGTGCATACATCTCCACAAGAGACTTCTTCATAAAGTTGATCAGTGGCCACGAAGATGGAGATGTGAATTTAGAGTTCCTCACATATGCCATATACATGTGCTAAATAACAGAAAACAAACAGAATAGCACAGATTTACACCGACATTCTGAAAGATGGGTCTCGCTGTCTTCTACTTACTTACTATGATGATTTCTTTAGTGTTCTAAGATTACTTAAAATACACCATATAAACATACATATTCACTTAAGTGCTTGTTTTTAGCTTACAAAACTACAAAATAGGCTACTTGCACAGCACCCTCCAATGCTATCAAACCTCAAATGTTAGCATTATATGCACTGCACCCTTAAAGGTTATGAAACCTCAAACTTTAACATTATATGCACTGTGGCCTCCAAGGTTATCAAACCTCAAACTTTAGCATTATATGCACTGCCCCTTAAAGGTTATGAAACCTCAAACTTTAGCATTATATGCACTGTGCCCTCCAAGGTTATCACACCTCAAAC